CCTGCTCTCCCGCTGGTCCTCCGGTCTGACCCCACCGCCTCTGGCTGACACCCCTCCAGCCCAGCCCTCACACCACTCGGGTCATTCCACGACTCAGAAAAATCCCAAATTCCTCTGCCTGGCATTCAAGTCTGGCCCCCAACCTTGGGCCCAGGCTGCCGACAGTTCCCCTGCACACCCCATGCCCCTGGGTTCACCTTTGTGCACGCTGGTGCAGCCGCCGAGCCGCGTGCCCTCCGTGACCGACCGTCCGTCTCCTACTCGACCTCCGACACCCAGTTCAAGTGTCGCCTCCCCGTCCTCTGCAGACCTTTGATCTGTCCCAGGAGCGTGAGTCATGCCTTCCTCCGGGGCCCGTCCAGGCCTCCACCAGAGCACACAGCCAGTGCTGTTGTCATCTACATTCTGAGTGACATCTGGCAGCAACCGTGTATCTCTGGGTTACAGCTGAGTACCCAGTGACTAATCAGCAACTGATACACAGTAGGTGTTCTAAGCTCTTGCTACATGGGTGACTAAATGAGAAAGAGAGAGAGAACTCCATGGCAACGGATGGGGAAGACCATGTGCTCCACTGTTAAACCGTATCCATTTTCACTCCTCTTTCTTGAATTTACTGCATCAAGAGCCTTATGCACGTGGTGAAGATAAAATCTCCAATATTCCCACAACTCCCAACCCCAGGACCTTTGCATAGGCCATTCTCGCTGCCTAGAATGCTTTCTCCCCCCTACCCCACCCTCTGCTTCTTTGCTTTCTCACCCTCAGGTTTCAACTTCCATGTTGTCCCTTCAAAGAGGCCCCCCCCCCGCCCCCGCATTAGATGGGTCTCTTCTGTGGTTCTGTGCGTAACAATCTCCTTGTTTATCTCCCTCGCTGCAGCTGTCATATGGCCATTCGTTGAATGTCTCTGCTGCTATGTTTATGAGTGGTCTTTGTCTTGCAGCCCAAGCCCCCAGGGTGGAGCGGAGCAGTTTACTCTCTGCACAGGGTGGATGCAGCTCGCACTGCGAGGTGTGAAGAAGGATGGAGGAGGAGGTGAGAATTGCAGTGTCCACTCATACAAAGAGCAGCCCCGAGAGGTGTCGGCTATCCCCACTATCAGCTCCCCGAGTGTGAGTGACTGAGTGATGGTACTTGTTGGCATCACATGGCTGACAAAGAGCTTTCAGAGAGGAACCGTGCATTGCCCAGAGTCACAGAGCAAGTTCTCACCTAAACTAAATTCTCAAGCTGTAGGGGAAAAAACTGGCCAGGCAGCTCTGCCTCTAACTCCTATATCGTCTCTGAGCCTCAGTTTTTCTCATCTGTACAATGGGCACAACAGCCCCAGGCTGGGCTGAGGAGCGGGAGGGGTGGGGCTCGTGTTCGTGGCTCTTCACTTTCACTTGATTTCTTGCCCACGGGCCAAGGGCAGCCGTGGTTGTCTGAGGACAGGTGTGCCAGGGCCAGGGAGGACCTGAGCACCCTGCCCGTCCCCAGCCTGTGTCCCCTAGGGGGCTGCGGCTGCCTGTCTGTCTGTCTGTCTCATTAAGCCTGTGTGCACGTGGCCTCTAGGAGCTGAAACAACCTGCCCTCGTGGACCGTATTCCAGCCCATGCGCCCCCTGCAGGCTCTCCGTGACTGTGCAGCTTCTGCCCCGCCTGCACTGGCCAGCCCACTTAACAGATGTGCACATGGAGGTCCAGAGCCTCATCTGTGGTCACCCAGCGGGGAAGGGCCTGGGCCTGGGCGGCGAGGCCGGCGGGTGCAGGGGGCCCGCCTCTCTGGGGGATGATTCGGGTGGCTGGTTCCTTCTAGGAGGCTGCAGGGCTCCATGCTTCAGCGGGGCCCTGGCCCTTGCCTGCCCGGGGAATGTTCGCAGTGGGTTCAGAAGTTCCAGGTTTACTCAGAGCGCTCATTTGAGCTGGTGTGAAAAGTCCCTTTGGCCTGGGGCTAGGGTGGGAGTGGGGGCGGGGACACCTGCGAGCCAGGCTTGGGGTGGGTTTTTTCCCAGCTGCCCTGTCCCTCCCCCTCAGCAAAGGCAGTGAGGAAGGGGCCGGGGGGGGGGGGGTGATGCAGGGGAGAGACCCCTTCCTGGAGGGACTGTTTGTTCCCCTGGCTCCACTGCTGTCTTCTTCCCCTTCCTTCTTTTTCTTTAAAAAAATATGTTTAGGAGCTAGCGCTATGGCATAGCGGGTAGAGCTGCCACCTGCAGTGCCAGCATCCCGTATGGCGCCGGTTCGAGTCCTGGCTGCTCCTCTTCTGATCCAGCTCCCTGCTGATGGCCTGGGAAAGCAGTAGATTGGGCCCCTGCATCCGCGTGGGAGACCCAGAAGAAGCTCCTGGCTCTGGCTTCGGATTGGCTCAGTTCTGGCTGTTGTAGCCAATTGGGGAGTGAACCAGTGGATGGAAGATTTCTCTCTTTCTCTGCCTCTGCCTCTCTGTAACTCTGCTTTTCAAATAAATAAGTAAATCTTATATATATATATGTATATGCTTAAAAAACATATTTGAAAAGCAGAGACACAGAGCGAGACAGGCAGACAGAGCTCGCCCAGCTGCTGGTTCACTCCCCAAATGCCCACAACAGCTGGGGCTGGGCCAGGCCGAAGCCAGGAGCCGGGGCCTCCATCACAGACTCCCACGGGAGTGGGAGGGGCCGGGGCACTTGAGCTGTCACCTGCCGCCTCCCAGGGTGTGCATCAGCAGGAAGCTGGAGTTGGAAAGTGGAGCTTGCTGGAACTTGAACCCAGCCCATGTGACGCAGGATGTGGATGTCCCAAGCGGTATCTTAACCACCGTCCCAACCAGCCGCTGCACCTCCCCTTCCAAGCGACTCCCTGGGTAGCCCTGGCAAACCACCCCTGCTCTGGGTCTCAGTTTCCCCACCTGCGAAAGGGACATCACAGGAGCTATTGTTCAGTGAGGACTCGGTGCCCTGCATCCTGGGTGGTAAAGGTGACCACTACCCATACTAGTTAACGGCTATCTAGTAAAGATGACCACTATCCATACTAGTTAGAGTAACACATAAGAGCCCCATAATAGAAACCCTCTGTGAGCCATGGGCAGGTCATGGCCAAGGTCATGGCCCTCCTGCACCATGCTGGCTTTGGTCACATGCACACCCCTGAGCCCCGAGGCACACAGTAGGTGCTCAATAAATGCACACCGTGCCCAGGAGATTGGCATTTTCATTCCTAGCCTTGCTTTTCTGATCCTTCGTCCTGTGGGCCTTAGAGAGGATCCGTGGCTCCCACAGGGCCACGTGGCCACTGCATAGTGGCGCCAGGACTCGAGCCCCCAGATCACAGTGGCTGGTGTGCTAGAGCCCCAGCTCGGGGGCTGGGGGCGTGCTGCAGGTGCCGGGTCCCCTTCCTCCTCCTCCTCATTCACTCGTCAGGCGCCAGGGCAGGCCCCGATGCTGCAGGGAACACGGGGGTCCCAAAGCTGCCTCTTTCCTGCTTATTCTCTAGCGACCCTGCCCCCCCCACGAGCCCCGGGGCAGGCTCCAGCCCCACCCCCACCCCCTCCCCTAGGCTTGAAGTCAACCTGAGTGCCGGGACCTCAGGGCTCAGCCTTGGCCTGGCTCCTCCCTTCTCCCCCACCGCCCGATCTCGGGCCACCTCCTGTCCTCAGGGTCCAGACACCCTGCCAAGACCAGGGAGCCGGGGAGCAGGGCCTCTCGTCCCCACGGGAGCGGATGCTCTGAAGTCACCCCAGGACTCGCATCTTCTGTGTTTGCCTATTCCATAGCCCACAGCCTTGCTCTGGGGCTCTGAGTCACAGAGAGCCTGGATGTGACCCCATAGACCCTCAGTCTTCCCATCTGTGCAATGGGCTAGACAAGCCCACCAGCCTTACCTGGTGCTGTGAGGAAATGGGACAGCCTCCAGCACCCCCAACAACAGTGAGCATCGGTGCCCCCACCACAGTGGAGGGCCCTCGGGGTGCTGAGTGTGTCTGTGCTGCCTGCCCGCCCTGCCAAGGACCCTGGGGTCCCCAGGAGGCCAGCTCGCTGTCTAAAATGGAAAGGGGCTTCTCCCTCACAGCCTGTATGGCACTGTGTCTGAAGCCCTCCCCAACAGCTCTGCTACTTTGTTCCCATTTTCCAGACGAGAAAACCAAGTCCTCAAGCAGGGAGATAAGGGAGATTTGCCCAAGTTCACCAGCTAGGAAGTCTCATGGCCGCATCTTGACACCCACCCCCCACCTCCGACCAGGATTTCCCCCCACAACACCATGTGCTTCTGAAACCCCCGCTGGCTCCGGGGAGCAAGGCAGAGGCCGGGAGCTGCCTCGTGGCTTCTCGGTGCCCCTGCCCTGGGTCTGTGATGCCGAGGTCCCCACGCTAGGCACTCCCCCACCCCCGGCCTCCTCCGTCTTTTCCTTCCTGGCAGCTTCCTCAGCCTCCCTTCTCCACTCCTCCACGCACTTTGCTTCTTAGCATCTGACCATGCCCCAGCTTCAGGAGCAAGGTGCAGGGATACCTGTGCAGTCGCCCGCCCCCCCCCCCCTGCCCCGGGTGGAGCCGCCTGAAGGGACTCGCTCTAGCTCGTGGGTCTTCATGGTCTTATCTGGGAAATGGGCGCACCTGCTCCCGCGTGGAAGAGTCCAATGAAGTAACAATGACAAAACACAGAAGATGGCACAAAGTTGGTGTCCCCCCCTGCCCCCGACAACAAAGGGGCCCCATAGCAGCACCAGCTCCTGTCCCTTGCCCGTCACTGCAGGTGACTCACTGCATGCTTGGCCTGGAACTTGCCTTCCTTCCCCAAGCCCCTGCTTCTGGGAGTCCAGCTTCCACAGACATGGGGGTCATCTCAGCTCTACCCCTGCCTCCACGCCACGTGACCCTCTGCACACCCACACCAGCCCCAACCCTGCCCAGCCTCACTGTATAAGCCCCCGATGCCTCAGCGGCCCCCGCTGTGACCTGGCTTGTGCCAGGTTAGATGCCAGGTTAGGCAAAGGCGGCGGCCAGTGCCCATGGGGAGCCGCGGCTGTGGTCCCGTTACCTGCTGCTTCAGGGTCACCCTCAGAAATCCATTCCGCGTGCCTGGGTGTGGCAGCTGGCCTCCGCGTGAAGGTGGGAGATGAGGGTCCGAGGAAGCGGGGCAGCCTTCCCCGGTCCCCCAGCAGACCCGTCTTCAGCCCTGTCTGTCCCCAAGACAGGCAGCTGGGCTCCCAGCAGGTGACCTGCGCACAGCTGCCAGACAGACAGAGGAAGGAGACTGGGGGGCGGGACCAATCACTGCAGCAGGGATAGACAGACAGCAGACACACAGCCGGCCACGTGGCTGTCGGTCCCACTCGGGGAGGAGCAGGCAGACAGGAATGGGGGGGTGGGGGACGGGGGGGGGGGACACTGAACCCAGGGTCACTGAGCCGAGAGAGCTGCAGGCTGCTCTCCCAGAGCCCCAGGCGCCTGTGCAGGGCGGGGAGGAAGGGGAGGATGTGGTCAGGACTCGCCCCGCCCTGCCCACTGAGCGGCGGCTGGGCCCCTCCTGGAAGGCAGTGGCGGCGGGGGGGGTCGGCGGAGGGCCCACCCCCACCCACCAATCGCCAAAGGTCACCCGCTAGGAAGACATCTGGGGCTATCGGGGTGACATCTGCCTGGGGGGGGGCGGATGACATCATCCTCCCAGCTCTCACAGTCATGGTCATGACCCATGAGGCAAGCAGTGCGGCCACCAGCCGCCCCATCTCCCAGACGTGCAAACTGAGGCTGGGGGTGTGAAGAGGTGGTGCAACTGGGCGGGGCGGGGCTCAGCAAGTGTGCAAGGCAGCTTGGGGCTGTGGTCCCTGTGGCTGCCTGCCCGCCCAGCAGGGTTTGTGCTGGGTTAGGTGGGAGTAGGGGGCTGCAAAGGCTGGAGCTGCAGAGAGCAGGCCCTGGACTATGGAGCTGGACCTGTCTGATGCTCTGGCCGATGGGACCCTCAGCCACCAGGGAGGCGGGGCGGCCTTTCCCACGGGAGCGCAAGAAGAAAACAGGCTAGGGCCATTCCCCAGAGAGCTCCAGCACGCTGGGGCCTGACATCTCCAGCAGGGGTCTTAGAAACACGAGAACTGGAGTGGGCCTTTGCACAGTGGTTAAAGACGCCACTGGGGCTGCCCACGGGCCCGGATCAGAGGGCCTGGGTTCGAGTCCCGGCTCTGCTCCTTGCTGGTGCAGGCTCTGGGAGGCAGCAGGCGACGGCTCAGGTGGTCAGTCTCTGCCATCCACGTGGGAGACCTGGATTGGGTTCCTGGCTCCTGGCTTTGACCCGGCCTAACCCTGGCTGTTGCAGCCGGTATCTTAGAGATCTGTCTCCCTGCATCTCAAAAACAAAACATGAAAAACAACAACAAAAGTGTTACAGCCATGCTAAGGAAGAAACTAACACGCAGACAAAATGCAGGAAGCTCCTGCTCAGCAGCCTCAAAAGCAGAACAAGGAAATTGCTTTTTTTCCACCACCACTGCCACCATCCCCTTGATGTTCACTTGCAAGACTGCTTTCTCCCACCGCTCTCCTGAGACACACAAGATGAGACCCATTACACAGATGGCAAGACTGCAGCTCAGAGGGACACGAAGCCACGCAAGCTAAGAAGTGTGAGAGCTGGGACGGGACCTGGCTAGATGCACTTGCGCCAGCCGTGGGAAGGGGCCCCAGCCAGGAAGAAATGTACCCAGGGCGGGCAGGGCCAGTTTTGTGTGGTCCTGATGTGTGCATTGCTGTCAGCCTGGATGTACCTGCTGGCTGCCCACCCAGCTCCCAGCCATCTCAGTTTTGGGGAAAAAAAACAAAACCAGAAAAGAACAACTTGTAGCCGCCCCACGTGACAGCTCCAGAGACAGAAAGCCTCTTGCTGTTTATTTCTCAGTGTTTTTGTTTTGTTTTGTTTTTCCTGGCTGTTTTTCAGGAACTTGGGACAAATTCCCCTGTGACTGAGCTGCAGGCTGTCTGACCTGCGAAGTATCTGTTCTCCACTCCCAGAACCTCTCGCGGTGTCTGGAGCGCGAATCCTGGGAGGAAGTCGGCTTCTGTTTCTCTTGTTCTTCATCTTCTTCTTGCAGGGTGACTTCTCGGATCCCGTGGACTGGAACCCGTGGCAGTTGAAAGGTTGGGAGAGGGAAAAGCAAAAAAAAGAAAAGAAAAGAAAGAAAAAGAATTGTAAAAAGCCAGTTCTTGCTGAAGACAACTCTGGCCTTAAGGACTTGTAAAAGGTGAACCATCCGACTGGCATCCCAATCACTTCTGGAACACAGTCGCCACCCTCGTCATCATCATCTTCCCTATATTAAGGATGAAAGACTGTGGCTCAGAGAGGTTGAGTGACTTGTCCGAGGTCACACAGCTGGTGAGGGCCAGAGCTGGGATTCCAACTCTCTAGAGCCTACGGAGTAGACAGCCCACTACGTTGCCTCTGGATGGGTGATAACACAGGGGCAGTCTCTCTCTCTCTCTCCTCCCCCACTCCCACCTGCCTTCCTCCTTCCCTTCACCCACCCCACCTGTCCATCCCCCCATCCATTCTGTCCAGCCTCTCCCCATTCTGTTCCTTTTGAGCAGGTCCTAGGCTATGCACTGATTATATTCCACAGAAATACACCCAGTGACAGTCCTGGTGGAGCCTGTATTCCCACGGAGAGAGACACACAACAAGAAGTGTGCAGCAAACTGATGCTTGGTCAAGGCCGTGAGGCTTAGGGTAACATGCAAAGGACCCAGCCGCGGGGGAACCGGCGTAGGCAGCAGAACATGCACGTGCAAAGGCACTGTGGTGGGGAAGAGCGCCGCTTCCTCCAGGAAGCTTGGGAACGGTGTGTGGTGGAGCCATGTGAGAAGTGAGGCCACGGAAACCACGCATGCGCGCCACACGGGGCCTCGCTGGCCGCGGCAAGGAAGGTGGATTTTGTTCCCAGGGAACTGGGAAGTCACTGGAGGTTGGCTTCATTCAATTAACATTTTCAAAAGAATGCTCCGGCCCCACAACCAGGAGGGTGGATGCGATGCAGCGAGGGCCACCTACTCCTTGGTGTTTAAAGAGCGGCTGCTCCTGCAGCCAGGCCTTGGCAGCGGGGGAACAGGCCGGCCTTCAGGGCAAGGTCCCTGACCCCACCCCCCACCCCGAGGTATGCCTGGGAGGGGGATGGGATAGGAACCTGGAGCCCCCTCCCCCAGCAGCCCCGGCTGCTCAGGACTGGCCAACGGGGAGGAAGTGGTCACATTTGCATTTCAGCCAAGGGGCCTCCTGGGAGAAAAATCATTGTGACAACCCCTCCTTCAACCCATTTCCTCTTTTTTTATTTTTATTTTAACAGCTTTATTGAGGTATAATTTACATAGCGTACAATCCAGCCACCGTAAGGGCACAATGCAGTGATTTTGAGCCCATGGATCCACGCGTGCAGCTCTCACCGTGGTCTGATTTTATAGCATTTCCATCCACTAACAGACTTTCTGTGCCTACTGGTTTTCCTTTATCTTTGCTCAGCTTTCCCTATAGATTGAATAACCTAATATGTTGTCTCTGGCTCCGGTCTCTCTCCCCCAGCACAATGTATGCAAGGCTTAACCACGCGATGGTGTATATTAGCACTGTGTCTGCATTTATTGCAGAATAATATTCCACCACTTGGCCGGCCACTCATCAGCTGAAGAACACTTGGGTGGGGCCGCTTTTTCATGATCACGGATGAGAGTGCCATGAATGTGGCACGCGAGTCTTTGTGCAGACGTGCATTTTCGAATCGCCGGGATGCACACCCAGGAGTGGAATTCCGGGATCTGGTGGTGCTCAGGAGCTGCCCGGCTGGCTTGCACAGCCAGTGCGCTGAGTTCCATTCCCACCAGCCACCTAGGAGGACTCCTGTTTCTCCACATCCTTGTCAACATGTGTTTTCTATTTTCTTCTTTCGCATCTTGCGGGCGCCAAGTGGTGTCTTATTGTGGTTTTGCTTTGCATTTCCCTGATGGTTAATGATGTTGAACCTCTTCTCATGTGCTTGGCCGCCACCTGCACACCTTTGCAGACACGTTAGCTCAGGTCCCTTGCCCATGCTTAAATACCGTTGCTTGTCACTACGTTAACCTGTAGAAGTTCTTTGTGTATCCTGGATACGAGACCTTTATCAGATAGGTGATTTGCAAAAACGCCCTCCCTTGTCTTTGAAGGCAAAGCGTGTTAGGTGTTTATGGAGCCCAGCTTTCTTGTTCTGTTGCTGCTTGCACTGCTGAAGTCAGATGTAAGAATCCATTGCCAGATTTAAGGTCATGCTTTGCTCCTGTGCTTCCTTTATTCTAAGAGTTTTACCGTGTTAGCTGTTCCATGTAGGTCTCTGACTCATTCTGTGTGAATGGTTGTGTATGGCGTGAGGTAGGGATCCTTCTTTGGTGTGTGGCTGTCCAGTTGTCCCAGCACCATTTGTTGAAGTGACTATTCTCACCCCCTTGCCTGCTCTCGGCATTGTTATAAGAGATCAGTTGACTACAGATGTGTGGGTTTTTTTCTGGACCCTAGGCTTGTTTCTATGTAGGTCACACGATTCTGATAACTAGCTCCATTGTAAGTTTTGAAATTGGGAATAAGAGACCTCTAACTGTGTTGTTTTTAAAAAATAGTTTTGGCTCTTCTGTATCCCTTCTAATTCCACGTGATATTTTTAAAGATTTATTTATTTGCAAGGCAGAGTCACAGAGGGAAATGGAGAGAGATCTTCCATCCTCTGGTTCACTCCTCAAATGGCTACAATAGCTAGGGCTGTGCCAGGTCAAAGCCAGGAGCCTGAAGCTCCATCTGGGTCTCCTACCTGGGTTCAAGTCCTCGGGCCATCTTCCACTGCTTTCTCAGGTGCAGGTGCATTAGCAGGGATCTGGATGGGAAGTGGAGCAGCCTGGACTCGAACCAGCATTCTTATGCGATATTGGTGGGGTGGGCAGCAGCTCAACCCACTACACCTCAACTCATGGTTTTTTTGCAGTTCAGAACTTGGATTCATTAGCTTTAGGTAACAATTGAAAAGACTGAAAGGACTCCGTATTGCAGGAATTTTTAAAGTTGACTATCTGTACAACAAATGATGAAAACTGAGCAGCATACAACACCATCAGCCAACAAGTGGGGCTGGAGCTCAAGGGATTCACAGCTCATCCATCGCCTTTCAGCGTCTTCCCCCAAAACGATTAACCCAACGAGCTCTGTGGCTGTGTTCATACTCCTCAAGATTCCTACTTCTATGGAGCACGTATTTCTAGCTCACATCTTCGCCTAAAGTGAAATCAGTGACGCCCGATTTAGACAAACGGTAAGCATTACATAAGCACGGGGGCCGGCGCTCGGTCATAGTAGGTAAAGCATCCGCCTGCAAAGCCGGCATCCCACATGGGCATCACTGAAGAGTCCCGGCTGCTCCTCTTCTGATCCACCTCCCT